GGTTTCAAAATTGCAGCACCTAAGAACACAGAAAGAAAGAATTTCTTCAGAAAGAAATCTGCTCTTGGAACAAAAAACAATCAGAAAAATCACTTCAGAGCATTATTTAACCCAGAAAAATTAATGAAAAATATTGGGCTCCCAGTCATTATGTGTTGAAATGATCTGCACAATCAGAGTAATTTCTTTGCAGCACATAATGGCCAGGCAGTGGGCTGAATGTAAAATCTCCTAATAGACCTAGAGGCTTGTATTCAAAAGACAGCTATTCTCAAATCACTTGTAAACACGATTTCCTTTATTTTTTTTTTTTTTTATGGCGCTTTCTATGTGAGTGGCCTACAAATTATTAAAGCAGCTCTGCATGCAGGTATGCTTTCCCTCATGTTTTCAGCTCCTGATAATATCTATGCCTGTAAAACACAGTCTGGAGTGCAAACACAAGGGCAGACAGGTACCTCCAGGAATCATAACACTGAGATAAAGGTGGAAAGGCACTTTTTTATATCCTGATGTGGAAACCAGCCCAGAGTGTCGTCTGACCACACCCTCCAGCACTTTATCAGCACTAAAAACAATCTGTGCATGATGCTGGTGCCTCCATGTACCATGAGCCAACAGAGTGGAACAGCTCATCACATCTAAAAGCCAGATTCCTCTTTGTTTCTTTGTTGTAATTCATTAAAAAATAAATATCATGAAGAGGATCACCACACACAACATCACCACACCAATTTTCCACCTCAAGTTGTTGAAGACTGCAAACAGCACAGGCTTAAGCCTGTAATGAGACACTCTCATTTCTTTAACAAAGCTCAAAAGGAATTGGCAGCAGAATGATGAGAGCCAAAAGCTTTCAACCGTATTCTGAGCAGAGAGAGCAGCAAAACAAAGCAGTCCTGGAGAGAAAGACAGAGCAGAATTTGTATGAGGGATTTTCAGGCTTACAGGTGGAATCTGTAGGAGGATGAGGGTAAACACACAGTGAGACACCAAGATCAGCGTTGCTAAGCTGAAAGAGAATTAAAAAATAGCTCAAAGTGAATAATTGATTCTGGAGATTCCAGGCAAATCCAGCACAAAGGCTATTCTTTCTTCCTACTCTCTTTTTAAAAGAGCAGCCCTTAATTTGTGCTAGAAGCAGATTTATGGTCCCCAAGAATAACAAAGTTTATAACACTTCCCTGAAAGAGGAGCTCAGCTAAAGAGATCTGCTGTGGTGCCAAAAAGTGATGTGATGGTTCAGAGGGTGAGAGCACGTGTCTGTTTTAACTCGTCACTTTTGCAGAACTGTATTTAAAAACTAGCTCAAAAATTACAGAAATGGAAAACAAGGACAATTACCAATATGACAAGTTCAAATTTAGAGATGTGACAATTTTTGTGAAGTCAGACACAGCGAGATCAACCTTTTGACTGATAAGAGACAAAAACTTCTCAGTGCCTGACAATGTTATGGGTATATCAAGAGATTCACCACAATTACTGACTTTTCCCCCAGTCAGCCCCCTCTGAATAGTTACCCTGCGGTCATCATGATTATCACGAAAAATCCACACCCACAGCAGCTGCAGAAGCTGCAAAACCAGTGTGAGCACTGAAATAAAGTCACCTTTGAGCCCAAGGGGATGAAGGTGCCTCAGGTACCAGGGTGACCCACAAAAAGCTGCCCTGAGAGGCTCACCCCGAGCCGAGGGAGCAGCAGGAGAGGAGGAATCTCTGTTCCAGCTAAAGGGATCAGCAGGGCAGTGCCAGCAGTCTGTGCACACACACTCTACGTGTGCTGCATGAACACCAGGACGCTTCCTGTGCTCTGCCAGGCTGAAGCAGCACTTTCAGGCAAGACTGGAATGAAGGTTTCCCTTTTCCTCTACAATAACACTACGAAATAGTCTCACACCTACCTTGTAATTTTATCACATATCCTAATGCAACCACGTAGTTTTTAGTGTCCAGCTCCTGGAAGAAGCTCAGAAGCTTGGTAATATCAACCCTGTTTCTTAATGCTGGCTTGTCAAAAAAACCTATTTAAGGAAACAGGCATCATGTATTTGTAACATTCCTGGGTGTGCCATGCCTTTGGAAGTGCTGCTAAAGGACAATGATGTCAGGAAAATTAATCCACAAACATCAGAGGTTTATGTCCAAAAAGGAGACAGAGGAGTGCTTTTATTTTATCTGAAAAAAGAGAGATGCCATGGGGCATTCCCCTGGGGTCTCTCCAATTTTTGGAGGACTCAGCCTCCTTTTTATCCCAATTTCCCAGCCACATTTCCCTTCTCTCTTTCCCCATTGGCTGAGGTACTTGAGAGGTTCAGACTTCCCAGAATGCCTGATACTGAAGATTTCCCTCTAATGTACAACTCTCCCTTTTAATTTTTAATTCTTATGGAATTTAGGGGTTTTCCCCACTCTTTCTTTCATCTTTCAATATCCCATTTCATTTATCAGCAAACCTACAGTTTGTTTGTAAAGGCAAATCTTTGTTTTTTCCATTCATCAATCAGTGGAACCTTTCCCATTGTTTTGTTTATCTCTCAGTGCTGGTTTTATCTACCAGCAGACCCACAGCCTGTTTGTAAAGGCAAATCTGTCATTCCTCTCACTGACAATAATAACCTATTTAGGAGAATAATTTTAAGTGATCTGCAGTACCTGCCCAGTGGCTGACACACCTTAGAAAGGATCTGTATCAGGAAATGGAGACAAAATCCTGGTCACCCAAATGAGTGGGTGTGAGGGTGGGAAGGTCAGGAACATGAAACCCCACTGTCCTCTAAAACATGAGAGTCCCCTCCTGCCTGCCCCCTCCTCAGCCCCTGTGCAGAGGAGGCTCCAAGGGAATCCAAAGAGCTCTTCCTGCAAATTTCCAAGCAGAGGAGATGAAAAACAAGCCCCTAAATTTCATAAGCAAGGAATCACCCAATGCTTCCTGCATTCAAAATAAGTAAAACAAAACCAAAGGAAACATTTTCTTAATTTGACCTTCACATGTGGCTTTGATGTCCCACTACTGACTTTTCTTTAATTTCCACTCCTTTACCTGGCTACCAATTTATCTGCAAACGAAGGTGAATGTCCACTGGTTCAGCCAGGAGCATCCTTTCTCACTAGGTGGGACCTGAAAGGGACAAGAACCTCCACACTGTTCCAGGTAAATCCTTGCCTGCTTTGGTTCCTGGAGGGCTTGGCTCACACCACTATAATACATTTTATTTTCATTTCTCCAAAGACCTTTCCATCCTGAAGCTACTTGTGTCCTTGCAGTGGATGCTCTGAATTACAAAGGTGATGTTTTCAGTCTCCTGTGGCTAAACTATCCCAGATTTCATCTTAAACACTGTGCCTCATCTCCTCTTACCTCCAGCTGCCTGTTTTAATTGGGGAGCCCAGGATTAGGGTTTGGCAATGCAGCAGAGCTTGGAGTAGATAATGACCCCTGGACATGAGGCTGGAAATACCAAATTCAGTTCACTCCTGGCCTCATCCCACTCTGCACTAACTCAAAGCTGTGCCCTGGGATAAGGAAGCCCCTAGAGGGATTGCAATGCACAAAACTCGTGCTAAAAAATAACTTTTAGAAAGCAGAAATTTGTTCAGGGGGAAAAAAACCCAACCAACCATTTTCAGGCATTCAACTTAAAAAATGTGATAAACTCCTCTGAAATAAATAGCACCAAACAGAATAAACCTGTCAAAGGAATAATATTCCAGTGTATTAGAAGACAAAATGCAGCAACAAACAGATTTGAAGTGGGATTAGATCTGTTTAAAAAATACATTATCTGTCTACAGAACCAGAATGTATTCCAGGAAACAAAAGAAGCCTCTTCAATGGATTTGAGGGAGCAGGAGTTATTAAATCAACAGTTTTCATGTGCAGCAGAACTGTGTGGGAACAGCAGGAACTTTCTCCTTCCTCATTTTCCACTGATTTTTTTGCAGAATTCTCCACCAGCCCAAGATTTCCCTGGTCACATTTCAGACCCAGGTTTTTTATTGAGATTTCAACATTCTCCCAGGATGTTTCCTTCTTCCCATGCTGATGTGCTACCAAAAATCAGAACCTTCATTTCCAATGCATTTGAACTTCCCAGTAATCCCAGCACCTTTCTTGCTCCTGTATCCTCACAGCTGATGTGCAGTTGAAATAATTGTTGGGTGAGGAAGTCATAGAGGCAGGAACAGCCATGCAGCACTGGGAGAGGAGTACTCCTAGAGAAATTAAATCCATCTAAAAACTGAAAAATCAACCCTCCTTTCCCATTTATCTCATGTAATGCTGCCACATCCCGGCCACTCATTCTGTGCACATCAAGCTGAGTAAAAGAACCTAATTCCACAAGCTGATGGGCTCTCCCCTCCATATTTAAATTTTCTGAGTTAATGATGATCCTGGTCCCAGTGTTACATATGCTGGGGCAACTTTATGGCACACAGGCCTCCAAGTTCCTTCTGATGGAAACTGCAAAACCCTTGAGAGGTTCTGAACCTCCCCACTGTGAGTGACTTGGTGCTGCTGAGGATAAATTCTGCAGCATCTCTGGCTCCAGCAGAAGTTTCTATAGAAACTACAGTTTCTATAGTTCCTCTACAGAGAGTTTGCAGAATCAAGTTTTCCTTTTCTTTCCACCATTTCTCCGACAGCAGGACTCAGCTGTCTATGAATATGCACAACAATCAGCCCCAGAAAATGGCTCAGCTCCTTGAATTGGAAATGCAAGCTCAGCTCCATGCACACTCAGGGGACCCATGGGGCTCTTCCATCACACTCAGGAGCTGCTGTGAATATTTGAGAGGTGTTGAGCCCTCAGCTGACCCTCAGCACAGACAGATCTCCACTGAAGCAGTGCCATGAAAGCACTGCCCTCCTTCATGCAGTAGTTGGAGCAATTGTAAAAGTAATTTCTCATGCAAAATAAGCATTAAACAAGAAGTCATGAAGCTGCTCAGACCTCTGGAAGCTTGACCAGTTTTCCTTTTTCTGAACTGATAATCACCTGTGCTCAAGAGGCTGGGCGGGTTTGGCGTGGTCACCTGGTGTCTACCTATCACTGCTAAGAACAAGCAAAATGGTTCCCAGGCAGCATGCACGAGACAAAAAAAAAAAAAAGGGAAAAAAATAAAAATATACCTCATAATGGTTATTATAGTTCCATTCTTTCATTTGCAAGAACTCACATTTTAAGGAAAGGAGAAATGAGTATGGGGAGATAAGGAAACCATTAATGAGCCCTCTGCCTTGGTTTCAATTACACTGTGAAATTAATTTAATGCACTTTAGGAATACAAGAGGTAATCGCTCTCTCTTGGTAAGAGGTTGCAATTTTCTCTAATAAAGTGTCGATATAAATATGTTGCTTTAAGACAGGGAGAACAAGTCAGTTAATTCAGAAAGAATGGGACATATTAAAACAAATGCTGTCAAGGAAACCAAATGGCAAAACCTATAAATAACCCATCTGAATGAAAATTGTATGGCAGAGAGCTGGTAAATTGAAGTTTAATTATAAACATTTTTAAAGACTGTTTTATGTTAATGAGATGCATCCAAGTGCCTAATGCTGTGAAAGATAACATTAGTCCAGTAATTAAAAAAAAAAGAAAGAGAATAGCCCATGTGAGGAGGGAAGTGGCAAGAGATCTGAGACCAACAAATCTGAAAAAAAAGAACAAACGTAGATACAAAAGGTTCATAATGTTTAACATGCTGGCAAAGTGTGGGATGGCTACACAGAGTGGACAAACGCAGGGAGCTTTCTGATGGATCATCCCAGGTCACCCAGCAAGGGCTGGTGGTGATTCCCTGCCTCTGGCCCTCCCCAAGGCAGCACCAGCCTCACGTGGAGGCACTGGATGGGGGGAAATGAGCTCAGGAGATGTGCTGGCCCAGCTGGGAACCCACCGGCTCTGCTTTGGAGGAGCTGCTGCTCTGAAATGATGATGCCACCCCCTCATCTCAGCGTTTAACAACCCAATACAAAAGGATTTGAGAGCTTTTTCTTGCCACCACAAGGATCAAGTTCATCAAAGGAGGGGCAGCACACAGAGAACCATGAAGCGAAAACACCACCAGAGAGCTGGGAAGCAGCTCCTGCACAGAGCTGGGCTGGATTGCAAAGGGCTCATCTGAGCAGCCTGTTTCTGGCTAAAGAGGAGGGGAAAAAACTGGGAAAGCTCCATTTTTATTTTTTTTTAGTGGATTAAACCACTGTTAAAGTCGGTCTGCTTTGGTTTTCCTGGTGCTGGGGCAGTGGGACACAGGGAGCCCTGTCCCTGCAGCCAGCTGGAGCAGAGGCGGTGCAGCAGCCCCGAGCGTCTCTCGAGTGATTAAAGAGCCTCCGCTCTGAGCAGGTGCCTCGCAGCAACACCCAGGATGTGTTACAATCCCCCAGCAACACATGCCTAACACATTTCGCTGCCTAATTACTCCCACACTCACGTTCAGTGCCCCTGTTAATCCAGCGCTTCAAGAGAATTCTTGCCTTGCTTAAACACGCCCGGATCCTAATCTTGCTGTCACTGGTGTAAATCAGAACTCCTTTCACTGCTGCTAATGGAGTGACAAATGTCTAGGAATGGGAAAATTAGGCCTCTATTCCAAAATGAACATTTAGTCTGGCACCAGTAGTATGTATTTATTTACTTGCATCAAATCAATTTTTTTTTCTCCTCTGGTACCAACTCAAGCAGAGTTTTTAATGCTGAGATCGAGCCTGACTCCAAAATAGGGGGTTTTTTCCTGATTTCTATCAAAGACACCACAGTGGTGTCTGGCAGCTCTGATGATTCTGTTCAAGGCAGACTGCAGGTTTGCTCATTCTATCCTCAGAAAAACATCAGTGCAAATGAAGGGGAATACAGAGCAATGCCATCAAGTATAATCAATATAACGAGCAGACAGAAGACAGCACAGACACAGGAGGTTATCTAGAACATTCCAGCTATCAGGACATGGTGTAATCACAGTTTTGTGAGCGTCTCTGCGCATTGCCCTCTCCAGGGGCTGGTCCCTTTATCCATAAGGAATTAATGTATGGTGGGAATGCAGCCTCAGGATGTATGGAAACCTGAAACTGTGGGAAAGCTCACAGAACCACCTTGCTCAGCTGTAGCTGTGGCAGCTCCTGTGACATTACCATCACCCCAGCTCCTGGTGCTGCCTTGCCTGTGAGCTGCACCCAGCCCTGCTCCTTTGGAGAGCTGAACCTGCCTCAAACCAGGCACAGCTGGGGCATCCCAGCTCCGTGCTGGGGGCCAGGCACTGGGAATTACAGCACTGCAATTCAGACCCAGGGAAAAGAGGAAGAGAATTTCCACAGAGATTTCTGCACTGCACATGGAGGAATAAGATACCTACCTATAAATCAAAAGTGATATGAAGCAAAAGTGATATAAATCAAAAGTGATATGAATTGAGACAGCGAGAATAAACACTAGAACTACCATCATTTCTTGTCCTTTTCCATTCAAGTCAATAAAGGAAAAAACCTAAAGAATAAGATCACCAAAAAGCAGTGGCTCTAGACATCCTCGGGCTCTACCCATTTCTTTAATGTCTCTTATTAAATTAATCCTAGCAAGAGATTTTTTTCTAAAAAGAGATGACATTCAGAAGCAACAGAAGGAGGGGGGTCATTGACTGAGTGGCTTAGTGACTTTTCCTGGTGACCTAACAGGGTTAATGAAATTATCTCAGTTTGCAAAAGTCAACTGAAGGTCAAACACTTACAGGACACTTTGCTGAGGTACCCAAATCACAGAGTGCAAACAAAAGGTTGTGTCAGAATGGGATTTTTCAAGCTGTGTAAGTTATTTTGTTTTGAATATTCACAGAGCAAATATCTTTCCTGCTAGCATGACAACATTCTTCCACCAGCTCCAGAAAAATGAACAACTGAAATGGAAGGAACAACTGGTTTCCAAAAATTAATTAATCCAGTATCTCTGATCTCATGAAGAGACTGTGCTATTGGAAAAGCTTGTGGGGATTCATTTCACCCAGTGCTGCTCTTGCTCTTTCTACCACCAGAAAGCCAAAATCAGGTATTTGAAATGGTCACGTTGCTACCAGCTGAGAGAACTGAGAGGGAGGAGACACACAGACTGAGACACACAGAATGTTTGTAACCCAGAGAATGAATTAAATAAAGATTTTACAAGGAGCTTTTAAACAGGAAAGGAACAAGAGGGAACGGGGAGAACCAGAGCCACAGATGAGAAGGAGAAATGGGAGAAATGGCTCCTCCTCCTCAGCTTTCAGTGGTGACACAACTGCTTACAGCCCCACCAGTGTGCACGACAGAGCCTGAGCAGGGAAAACACCTGCACAGGTGGGAGCTCCAGTGGCTCCACAGGGAGACCCAGTGCCTAATGGGGTTTCTTTGAGCCCTCCCAACTCCTCTGCAAGTGCAGATGCAGAAGGGATCAGGAGAAAGGACCCGGAGGTCATTAACTTCTGCCACCAGTCAAAACAGATGGAAAAAAATGGAAAAAATGGGATGGTGCCTCAAAGGATCTCTGGGCTCCTGCCAATTTTGATGAGCTCTCCACAGGCAGCCGTGCAGGTATTTGTCATTTCAGCACAGCAGCAAGAGCACAAGCTGGCAAAGTTTGGGAATGGAGAGGCACCAGCAGCAGCCCAGCATTTCCCCACAGCTCCTTGGCACACTACAACTTATGGTGGGGAAATCTTTTACAGCTACTCTGTGCTGCAAATCAATTGGTGTCTGACATCTTTTCCAGTCACTGCCACGCCAGTGCCTGGCTGGGACAGCCTGGGGATGTCCACACAGGGAGATGGAAAATGCTCTCCAGTGGCTAACAGTGTTTCTTTGAGTCCTCCCAACTCCTCTGCAAGTGCAGATGCAGAAGGGATCAGGAGAAAGGACCCGGAGGTCATTAACTTCTGCCACCAGTCAAAACAGATGGAAAAGAATGGAAAAAATGGGATGGTGCCTCAAAGGATTTCTGGGCTCCTGCCAATTTTGGTGAACTCTCAAAGCCTCCACAGGCTGCCATGCAGGTATTTGACATTTCAGCACAGCAGCAAGAGCACAAGCTGGCAAAGTTTGGGAATGGAGAGGCACCAGCAGCAGCCCAGCATTTCCCCACAGCTCCTTGGCACACTACAACTTGTGGTGGGGAAATCTTTTTCCAGCCACTCTGTGCTACAAATAAGCTGGTGTCTGACATCTTTTATAGAAAAGTAGCCCCTGGGGTGATTTTGAAATCTTTAGAAGAGTTGTTAAAAGCAGCAGTAAACTCTGAGAAGGAGCTCAGGCATTGTCACTGTTGGTCCCTCAGGAGCTGCACCTTGTGAACCAACCTGGGGCTGTTTTGGGTTTGCTCTGTGTGACCTGTCAGCTCGCTCTGTTCTGAGCTCACCACAATGGAAATCAGGAATGTTTGCTCAATTATACCATGAAAATGGCATGATGTAAGAATTGTGCCCCGCTGTGTACAAGGTTAGGCTTACACGAGATCTCCTCTTATCTACTTTGTACAGTTGTGGAGAGAACAAATTGAATGGGAAGTTAATGTCACTTTTTCAGTGATGTTCTGCCAACAGCAAGAACAGTCCTCAGGACAGAAAAGCTGTCAACAGAATGAGGGGAAGGAGGAACCACAGAGAATTATACCCTGCATTAAAAAAATAACAGAGGCCACAAATATAGTGGAGTGGTCCTAGAAATTGTTGTTCTGCCTTGGCAATCTTTCTTTTTAAAAAAAATAAAATAAAAGAGGAAATAAAGAGGCTGGTTCTTGGCTAGGAACTGTAATCAAGTTGTGCCACCACTGTAGTTTTTACATTTCTGGTATTGTGGTTTGCAGGAAAGAGAGAGACCCACATACCTTTTGTTGCCAGCCGGACACAGTTGATTTTTGTTTCCTGAAAAATAAAAAAACACAAGAAAAATATATAGGAAAACATCACAGCGTGTAATTTGCCCATCTACAGTAAACACACATTCCTTTAAAAAGCTACTAAAAATACATATATATCTTTTCTTGCACTTCATCTTTGAAAATACCATCAACAGTTGCATAAAACACTCCACACTACTGGACTTGCTTGCAGTTGGTTCTCTGAAGTGTTGAAAATTTGGGAGTGACAGCACGTTTCTCCACGCTCCACGTGTGAGAGTGATGGGTCCCACACAAGTGCCTGATGAGCTAATAGAATTTCCCAGTTAAATGACCTGCTCTGTAATAGACTGACAAGTCTTGGGTCAAAAGTGCACGCTACTGTACATCTCATTTTCATGCACCATTACTGCAAATTTTGCAAATTGGGTATTTATTTAAACACATGGCAAACAGACACCGAAGAAGTCATTTGAATATTTCAGCTCTCTGATGGATGTGGAGCAGACCAACATTCTGTGCTGCTGCCTCTGCCAAACGAGCTGTTCTAACAACCCTCACCACTGCAGCTCCTCATTGCAGAGCTGGGACAAAACCCAATGCTTTGTGTTCAATCCACCCTGGAGCCTGCAGAGCTGCAGAAAAGGGATTTGGATCCAAATGTTGGGTTTGGCTTCACAAACAGCTCAGACTCTGCGGCTTTCTCAGGCCACCTCTGCTGCAAGCACAACCTCTGTGGAGCCCCCAGCTCCTCATTGCTCAGCCCTTCCTGGCAGGGGCTGCTGCTGTCCAGCCTGTGATTGCCATCCAAATGGGAATGTGCTGCCTGCTAAAGAGCTGCCTCTGTCAGGCACTAATCTGCTGCAAGGCTTGCAGAGCACTTTATGCCTCTACACGTCTCAGGTGTAATGAATCCAGCATAAATTACTGTGCTGACAATGCTCCATTAATATGGATGCTGTCTGTGCCCTGGAAACAACAGCCCAGCAAAGCAAGCACTGCTGAGCACCTCCTTCCATCCTCAAACAACTGGACAAACCTGGTGCAAATCTGAATTTGCTCTTGGAGAAAATTGCTCCATCTGTGACAAATCCTCCTTGGCTGGAGCAGACACACACTGTGCCTTTCTCCTTGTGCTTTTGTTGCACATAGGAAGGGATTGCAGGATCCATGCTGGGAAATGCTGGGAATCACAGGAGCAATTCCCTCTGATCCCTTCCTGTGATGCCACACAATCTGGATATAAGGCACACTGTGTGCAGCTTAAGAACAATGAGATACCCAGAAGGACAAACCCTCCCCTTGACCTTGCCTTCAAACTCTCTTAAGGAATTCCTGGCTCCGTGAGGACAATCCATGAATATTTCCCAGTCCAGAGTGGGACTGAAGCCCTATTCATCCCAGCAACCCTGGGATTACACAAAGGAGTGTAACCAGAGATGTCTCTGTAATCAGATATCTCTGCTTACACCCCTTTGTCCCCCAAAATCCCCCCCTGCACAACCTTCACCAACACTGGCACTGCAAAGTCACCACAGCTGCACACAGAGCTGCCCACTCCCCTCATCCCAATGAGCTGGAATTCCCAGTTATTCTGCAAATCCAAAGTCTTTGCTGCTGCTTGGGATGTATGGAGCAGGAAAACACAGCTTTGTTTGCAGAGCTGACTCTGCACATAGTGCTGGGAACGAGAAGACAGACAGGTCCTGATGTAGTTTCTGATCTACAACAAGGTGAGCTGGAAAATCAGCAGTGAAGATTAAAATAAAATATTAAGAGACGGGATTTTTGCAGTCCGCAAGTAGGTGGACACTTGCTCCCATTTTCTTGTGTATTTGTTGCTTTCTGCTGGCTTCAGAATGTAACAGAAAGCAGGGGAAATTTGTCAGTGCTGGAAAAAGAAGAGTCTAGAATGATCTCATTTGGACATGAGTGTATTCCTGCTCGAGACCCTCCCACAGGGTGATTGGGAATACAGAATTTGCTCTGTTTGCATCTGCACCCACTGATGGCTGCACTGAGCACAGCCACAGCCCTTAGGAGAACTGGCACTGCCAAAAGCAACAGCTACAGGAACAAGAACTTCAGAACTTCATTTCAAACTGCATCTTCTGGGGAGGAAAGCATAAAAGGACGTGCACAGACACCAGCTCCCAGGGGTGCTAAAGTGTAAAGACTTGAATTTAGTCCATATTCTGGATTAAGGCTGATTATTCCATTGCTCTCCATTGCTCACCTCTTTGGTGTCTCATAAAAATGAGATCCCTTTCACCTTACTCTATTTTTCTTTGGTTGATGCTGATAATTGTAAGTTTGCATGAATCTTTTTAAGAAGGAACAAAATAAATAAATACATTCCCCCCCCACCAAAAAAAAAACCAAACCCAAAACAACTAAAAAAACCCCCAACTAACCCAATCATCCTCCCAAAAAAACACAAAACCCAGTTTCGCACAATCATGTTTGTTTTCTGAAAAATATTACTTTTGCTTCAAGGCTCTTTCCTGTACACAGTAAAGATCATAAAATGTTAATGGGCTGGAATGCACCTTAAAGTGCCACAGGCAGGGGCAATGCTTTTATTTTTATATTTTTCCCCTAAGTTACATTCCCCATCTTTCAATTTGTGCACACTGCTTCTTGTCCTATCACTGCAAGGTGCTTCTCTTTAGCCACCAGCAAAGCAGGAATAAACAATGTTCGTAATTATCAATGATCCATCCAGCTTACCTAAAGCAATGGCAAGAAAAATAATTAAATAAAGTGATAATAGTAGAAGTTTTAGAAAAAAAAAATATTTCCCCAAAATTCAGTCTCTGTGGTGTTTCTGAACATTCTTTCAAATGCTGCAATACTTACTTCCCATTTTATGATATCACAGAAGTTTTACAAGGCCTTATATATCTACAACAATCTTAATGATACCCAGAGAGCCAACATATTCTGCATATCTGTTTCATGCTATGGCTGAACTCACAGGAATAAATTAAATTAAGATGCCAGCACTGCTTCAGCTCTGTATCACTGCCAGGTTAAGGCAGATATTTTACAGCCAAACAGTAATGGAAAAATGTAGGCACATTTAAACTGAGATCCTGGAACAGGAAAACACTCCATGGCCACATCCTGCAGCTCCTGACCCAACCCTCACTTTCCAACATGCTCCACACCCTTAAAGCTCCCTGCAAAATGAGCCCATCCACCTCCTACCTCAACGTACTGATGGAAATTTGCTTTCTGGAACTTATTTACCAATGAATAAAAGAAGAGTATGGAGTGTCCTCACTCAAGGCTGAAGCCTGGCTGTATTTTTCAGTCCACACAGCAGGGGCACATATGAGCAGTGTGTGTCAGGGTGCTGCAGCCTGTTCCTGCACCTTCCATCAGCACAACCAGGGACCCTCTGTGAGCCCTCTGTGCCCACAGCCTGGAACCTGCACACCATGAGCCTGCTTTAGCCTCCCCCTGCATTTCCAGGGCTGTTTAAAACATTCTTTTAACATAACTTTATTCTTTCGTTTTAGAAGCAAAGGAGCTGCTGCTGTCTGCTAATTACTGAGGTTCCTAAATGCGCATCTCACTCAAGTGAAATGCACGATAACAAAATGAGTTCTGCCTCTGTCTCTTCAGTGTTTGGATGGGAACAATTTTGTGCAGAAAAGGGCTACAAGGGCAGCAGGACATATGTTTATGTGACAGCTGCATCTTCACAACCTAAAAAGCCACATGATCTTTCTTTCCCCCCCTTTCTTTGAAACTGACAGCTTGCTGTTTACAGACTACCAACAACAATGAAAGCAGCAAAGCTTTTTCATCCATCTGTTTTCACACCCACCGTTTTTCCCTTTCCTTTACTACGATTATGACTTTGCAGCAGTCAAACAGAGCTTGCCTTGCCTCAAGAGCCCCCTGCCAGCCCCAGCAGGACCTGCTGTCCCCAGGTGTGCCATGGGGGCTGCCCTACAACAGGCAGAGATTTTTAGGCACCTCAAACTGGGAAATTTTGTCTGCTGATGGTGCATGGACCACACAAGAAATCACCACTCTCTCCTCTGCCTCAGTTCCACCTTTAGTTCCCCACATCCCAGAGCTGAACATGGAATTTTTTGGCAACCTGCTTCACACAGGGATGAAACCATGGGTTTGCCCAGCCTTAAGGAGTTATTTATTTGGTCCTCAACAAATTTTGCCCAATCTAAATTATGTGTTTATTTTCTATGCCATTGCATCCAGTGGTTTGCAGTCTTAAAATATGTCTGTGCAGGGTCAATGGACTCCCCTATAATTTTTATTGCCAGCTTCAGGAAATTGCTATTTCCTTCCAAAGACTATTGTTGCTATTCCAATTATCAGCTTTTATTTTTAGTATCTGTGTCATTTGGAGAAGGGAGGTTTAACAAAGTGGTTAGGGCTTTTATTATTTACAATAGGAAGTTATGTCAATTATGTTGATGATTGGATACCCACTCCTCTCAATCTCTCAAAAATTACGTAGGCTGGAGGAGGATTTTATTTATTATGCAGAAAACACTCAGGTCCACATCCTCTGGTCAACCAGATGTGGAAACAGAGGTGTACAAAGAGTGAAAAGTTCCCATAGCTGCTTTATGGATGAGATTAAGAAGGAGAGAATGTAAGTGGATAAACTGTATACCCAAAATCCTCCTCAACACAGAGCTGGTTAGTAGCTCACAGAAGTGATGCAGGCAGCCCTGGTGCCATTTCATCTTTCAGAGCACAGCTCGTGCTGAGCTCAGCCTCCCTGTTTTTTTCATGGTCATCTCCAGAGGGATGAATGGCATCTCTCTGCTGGCAGCTCTATCCATACCTCCCAAATGTCCCAGAGGAATAATGCTGTGTGCTGTGAGCAGACCTGTCAGCATCAAGAAATCCAGCCTCAACTCCCCTGATAATAATGAGCTGCCCGATTGTGCATGTAGTACAAGTCATTAGAGAGGCAAAAAATCAATAGGAATCTCAGTAGAGTCTATCATTCCCTCAAAAAAATAATATTCTCATTGATTCCTGCAGTGCTACTTTTCACAATTCTGGGTTAAAGACATCAGTCACTTGTTGGACCACCAGGCTGGCAGAGCAGCTGGCAGCATCCCCCCATCACTCCCAGCTGTGTTACACAGGCTCCTGCTCATCTCCCATTGCAAGGAAAAATGGCCAAGAGTTATTGATTGCAAACTGTGCTGTTAAAAATTTCATTTTAACTCAATGAGGTAAAATGCAGCTCCAGAAAGGATTTGTTTTAAGGAGCTCTGGTTTCTGAGCTGCTCAAAAATTCAGGCAGGTTTCACATAGGAGCCAAAAATTCTCCCCATTGGAGTGTGGTGCTGGATCAGCAACCAGAAAAAGACCTGGGGACAACCAAACCTGCAGCATCAGTTTGATTATTGAGCCAGTGTAAGGATAAGGAGTAACACAGGGTTGTCAACTTGGCCTCATGTTGCAAACATCTTTTATGAAAAATCCTTTCCTTAGGATTTTTCTTCCTGAGAAGCTAAGAGGCCTCAGGAACAAAATGTAAACAATGATTATCTGCTGCTGTGGAATACAACAGGTAGATCTGCGATTGTCTCATATTGGTTTGTTTGTAATTAATGGCCAATCACAGTCAGCTGGCTCAGACTCTCTGTCCAAGACAGAAGCTTTATCATTCTTTGCTTTCTATTCTTAGCCAGCCTTCTGGTGAAACCTTTTCTTCTATTCTTTTAGTGTAGTTTTAATGTAATATATATCATAAAATAATAAATCAGCCTTCTGAAACATGAAGTCAACATTCTCGTCTCTTCCCTCATCCAACAACCCCTGTGAACACCATCACAGCCTCACCTTCCAGAGGGAAAAACACTGGCAGAGTTGGAGTTAGAAAGGGGCTGAGCTCAGGGAGGGTTTCCAGACAAGCAAACCTTCATGCTCTGTCAGGCAGCCATCTGTAGCAGGTGGCACCAGGACAAGCAGCAAACACCACATCCCTACCTGGATGGCTGTGACACTGTCTGGAGATCCTGCCAGAGCACAGCCAAGCCAAATGTGCCCTGTGCTTCTGTGCCACCTCTTGTGCTGACTCCTTGTATACCTAAGCAGTAACAATGGTGCTCCTCACTCCCACAGCCACCAAGCCTGCAGTTTCTGTGTGCCCTTCCTCCTTCTCCCCTCTCTCACTTCAAACTCTGCCACATTTCAGCTCAGCATCTGGGTCTCAGCAGTGTCTGGGAGAGAAATTCACATGATTTGGAAGTGCTTTGTGTTACAAATCTGAAAAGAACCCAGTCTCACCATGTTCTGCTCAGACTCCAGCCTGGAGGCAGCACCACGGTGACCAAAGTGCCCAGGAGATGGATCCAGCCAGCCCCAGCTTTTCCATTCACACTCTGAGACAACCACAGCAGTGCACAAGAGAAGGCACAAGAGTTGGTGATCTGCCTCTGCAGCAATTTGCCACACTTGTTTTGCATCCAGCTGTTAATTATGTTCCTTTCAGTGTAACAATCAGAGTTAATGGCTGCAGAGCAGACGGGAACACCGAATGAGCACAGCCCTCCATGTACAGAGGAGCTCAAACAATGCACAACTCCTACAACACTCCTAACCTCCTCCTCATCAAGCTTTTTGACCAAATCCAGGCTGTTTCATGAAATCAGGTTCTCCCCAGAGCCCTCTGTTTCCAAAGGAAGATGTTCTGGTTCACTGCATGAAGGCTTCTCATTGCAGCTTCCAGGTGTGGAAAGAAATTTCATCATTCCACAACTGTCAGTGATTAATGAAACTATGGAATATCCTAATTAAAAAATGAGTGGCAATGTTCTGTTAAGTTTTTTCACGTGTAAGGGAACATAAGGCTCTACTTTAACCCTGCTAAGTCGTTATTGTTGCAGGTTTTTTGCAGATGTGCTTTAACAAAAATCATGGAATGGTTTGGGTTGGAAGTGACCTTAAAGACCATCCAGTTCCAATGCCCTGCCATAGTAGGGACACCTTCTACTATCCCAGATTGCTCCAAATCCCATCCAACCTGGCCTTGGACACTTCCAGGGATGGAAATGCCATTTTGCAGCCGTAATTATTTGAAGGATTTTCCAAGACTGGTCAAAGCTGCTCAGGTTACAGACAAATGAAAACTCAGAACTTTACAATACAAATAGTACCTGCAAATAATTCTAGGAATGGAACAAAAACCTGCTATTCACAGATGCAAATTGACCCTAATGTTTGAAATGTGGAGCTTAATGATTTTACCAAGAAACAGAAGGAATCAGAGCAGAAGCTACACCTCTGAAGATCCACATTCCACTCTTGGGCATTTCCTCTACACTTTTACCCACACTTTACACTTTCAGGATATATAAAGTATATCCTGTAGAAATATAAATGATTAACACAGGAGGAAATTGCTTTCTCAAATAGTAATTTACTGTGTCTGGCTGGATACTTCTCATCCTGTCATGAACTGTGCATTGTTGAATTAAGACTATTTTATTAACTTATGCTTAAAAAGCTCTCCTGTTAGGACAGCCAAAGAAAGTCATCCTTTTTTGAGTCCTTAACACCTGGAATGAAGGGTGAGATGCAGGAAAAGCAGGAATACCAGTGATGCCTGAATCCAGAACACCAAGGGAAGCCTACACTTCCATCCTCACTACCCATTTATGGAATATTATATTGTACTTAAGCAAATAAAGTTTCTTCTTCCCTGGGGATCCATTCACTAGCAATTAACTATCACGCATGGGGGAACTAACTAGAAACAGAGAGACATATACATATATTCACAATTTCTTTTATAAAGGCAAATCCAAAACTGAATTAACTGAGCGGTGCTGGAAGGAAACTGTGTTGGCTAGAAAGGAAACCAAGGTGAAAACCAGCACAGTGTTGAAGAGATTTTGTACTTGTCAGCCACACAGCTGAAGCTGTGCAGGAAAATGGTGATAAATGAAGGGTGTAAAGCACTCCGATGTTTTGTGAACACTCGTTGGCACTGCCAGCCTGTGAAACCATCCCAGTCCTCTGCAATGTGCAGCTGCATTTCAGGTGTAAAAGCCACTAAAGCCTGCACTGTTCACCTTTGACTGATTTTTGTAATTTTTCTCTCTCAGGGGTGATATCATAGAGAATTTATCTATGTTAAAATTTAATTTCTGAAAGCACTGGCAAACAGGCTAATAATAGCAGACTCTGCTACCCAAATTTGTGATGCCTTGTTAATGCTCTAAGACTCTTCAGGAGGCCAGAGTGGTAAATTCTCTTGTGTTATGTATGAATGAAACACAGCTGGGGAGCCAGAGGGGAGGAAGGTGATCCTCTGAGGCTGGGTCTGGCCTGAAACAGGAGAGGTAAAAAGTCACAAATTACCCTCAGCTGGAAGAGAAGAAGGAGGAGAGGCCTCCTGTTTTCCTGTGGTGGGATGGGGTGTGTTGTGGCATTGTGTGTGTCATTGGAGTCTGAGAATGGAGTGGGCTACATTCCCTGGTCAGGCTGCATTTTAAACCCAATAACACAGAGTAAAAATATATAAAAATACAGAATTGCAGAGGGGTAGGACAGAGATGCAGAAAGTCCCCACTGCAGAACCTAATTTCTTCAGGCTGGAACTCCCAACCACAAGTGCTGCATTAGGATATGGCCAAGTGCAAGCTCCAAGGTAATCCAAATTCTTAACAGCTCCTCCAAAATCACAAGCACTGTGAACTATCAAGATACTGCAATTATGGCTCTTAAAAGCACAATAGCCCCTACTCTGACATTCATGCTTATTGAAGGATAAAAAAAAAATCTAAATTCTAAGCAGCTCATTTAGTAAATCACATGGCAACATGTGCCTTTACAGAATCAGGGTCCTCAACAGATTTCTCATTGGATCTGAGCATCAGAGAGAGGAGATTTGAGTGAAGGACACGTAATGGCATGCTTGATTTTCATCAGATTTCTGTAAGAGGGTAATAAGAAGGAGAAGTTAAACCAGCATCCAATCGAGAAGGAAGGAGAATGATGAAGAGGACAGAGAGAGAGGCAGTCACACCTACAGAGGCAGCTCAGTTTTCCCTGCACTTACTCCATTGGCCTTGCTAAGAGCCTGGAAGTATATGCTGTAGCTTTTCAGGGGAGACAGAGGAGCATTCCAGTAGCCATTGTAGGTCTTGTTGTCGCCCACGGTGAAGGGCTGTGTGACAGGGAGGTTGATGGGCTTCAGCTCAGCTGCAAAGTAGTGTGGGGAGTCCAGGCTGGAGGCGTTCTTGTAGCTCACTGGCACAGAGAAGCACTCGATGATATCTGCAGCTCTCCGGGCTTTCTGCAGCTTCTCCTCCTTGACAACGAGCTGGTACACACTGGGAGAGACAGAGAAAGGTGAGATTAGAGACCCCAGAGACTTCAATGTTGGCAAGGAATAAAAGGACAAGAGCATACAAAAGTCAGAAACACACAGCTGAGGCATCCCAGTGTGAAAAGTTTTTATTATATATATATATATATAATATAATATATAATATATAATATATAATATATAATATATAATATATATAATATATTATATGTAATATACAATATACAATATACAATATATAATATATAATATAATATATAATATATTATATATTATATATTATATATTATATATTATATATTATATATTATATATTATATATTATATGGCTCCACGCAGATATTTACCATATGTATTTTGATGTATTGATTAGTAGTGGTGTATTAACATTTTAATAATATGATAAATGTAGTCTTGTGATTAAAAGGTAACTCTTGTAGTTAAAATAAGAACTATGTTAGTGGGATTTCTTTAAGAAAGGAATGAGGCAGCCACAGGACACCGAAATCTTTCAGAGAAAGAGAATTTATTGCCCTCTTATCAGAAGAAATGAACTTCTTCCCGCCTCGAAGGTGCTGTTAGGATTAAGAGGAAGAAGTTGAGGATGACCAGACAGAATCCTGTGTTTGAATGGAATTTATGCATCATGGATGAGGTGTATGAATATGCAACAGGTTGTTGTTTTTAAGGGTTAATCCTTTGTTAATGTGGGTCCTTTTTCGGGCTTGTGCTGCCCAGAAAAGGTACCTGGACTGTCCGTAACTCTTTGTCTCTATTGTCTCATATTGTCCTAATTCAATTTGTCCAAATTATTATTACTCTAATTATATTACTATTTTTATAACCATTTTATTACTATGAAACTTTTAAAATTTTAAAAACAAGTGATTGGTGTTTTTCACACCAGCAAGCACAGCTCCTGGCACAGCAATAGCAGGGGCAGTGGCCACTGAAAGTCACTGTGGGGGCAAGATGTTGGCCATGAGCTCTGTTGGTTTAATTGAGTAAATCAGGATCAACCTGGGTGAAAGAACAGATTTCTATTATGTCACTCTTTAGGAAAAGGAGTAACTAATAAAATATCCAGTCTAGAATGAATTTGTAATGTGCTGAATGTTGGCAAGCAGAGGGTTTCTCCTTCAGCCACCAAAGTGAAACATGAATTCTTTGCTTGGCCCAAACGGTGGCTGCAGTGGAGGACAGCAAGAGCAGGTGGCAATGGTGTCAGGTGCCTGTGGGAACAGTTTCAGGGTGCAAAAAGCTATTTAGGCCAAAAAGAATCTTGAAAATCACTCTTTTTGGCCCTCCCTCATATCTTGATGTCCTCATAAGGACCCAGTGAGGCCCTGGCACAGGGTGCCCAGAGCAGCTGTGGCTGCCCCTGGATCCCTGGAAGGGTCCAAGGCCAGGCTGGACAGGGCTGGGAGCAGCCTGGGACACTGGAAGGTGTCCCTGCCATGGCAGGGCATTGAAACTAGATGGGCTTTAAGTTTCCTTTCAATCAAACCATTCTGGCATTCTATGACCTCTTTTTGGGATATTCTGCAATGTAGAATCCTCTAATTCCCAATAGCAAGTTTCCCTCTACCTTCCATCCCTCAAGGACTGTTTATGTACTGAGCAGGTGGCTTTATAGCTCCCTCAATCCACTTTTGTTTCAAGAAACAGCAACAACTCCTCATATTCCCTCTGACTCTATGAAATAGTAATCCTTTTTGATTCCTGCTAAGCTTTTGGCCATTATGATATATAATAGCAATCTTGTTATTTCTAGCTCACTATTGCAGGCTCAGAGCTTGCAAGGCATTCAAATACACTCTGCTTTATTTTCCTTTCCTCCTCAGGCAGCTACCAAAGCCCTGGAGTTCCATGCTGCTATAACCCAGGCAGGTTTCACTGTCTGTTTAACACCACTCACACGCTTGACAAAGAGAGATAGGGCTGCAGTCATTTTGCTTGGTGTCAGGCTATTCAGATGTGCTGCCCTCACCTGTCTGTGTCAGGCTGGGCCTTTGTTCAGGCAGACAGGGGAGACGGATGGAGAGATTGGGACCAGCCCCAGTGTGTCACTGTCCCAGCGTTCACAGGCTCGTTGCTGCACAAACACTGGGCTGGGGGATTTCAGCAGGGCAATAGCTCATCAATGCTCCCTGAGAAACTGAGTTCTGGCTCCTCCAGCATGCAGGAGGAGTGAAGAAGCCCCAGCTCCTGTGTTGTGGGGTGCCCCATGGCAGGGAGGAATGATGAATCTGACTCTATGTTCTCACAAGGCTAATTTACTATTTTATGATACTATACTACATTAAAGAATAGTATAATAAACTATACTAAAGAATAGAGAAAGGATACTCACTGAATGCTAAAAAGATAATGATGAAAACTGGTGACTCTCTCCAGAGCCCTGACACAGCTTGGCCCTGACTGGCCAAAGAGTGAAAACAACTCCCAGCAGAATGCAATGGAACAATCACCTGTGGGTAAACAATCTCCAAACACATTCCACATGTGAGCACAGCACAGGAGAAGCAAATGAGATAAGAATTGTTTTCCTTTTCTCTGAGGCTTCTCAGCTTTCCAGGAGAAAAGTCCTGAGCAAAGGGATTTTTCCAGAAAATGTGACAGTGACATTCCTGCTTTTGAATTCCCAGGGCCTGGGGCCTGTGGGATCTGGCTCATGCTCTGCTGACTGCAGGGCAGGCAGGGAAGAACTTGAAAACCATTTGGCTCCCACTGCCAGACACAATCCCAGCTAATCTGTACAAGCACGAGCAATTTGTGAGTTACTCAATAGTAAAGCTGTCCTTACCCTGCTGTTTGCTAATGTGGCTGGGGGTGCTCAGCCTGGAGAAAAGGAGACTCAGGGCTGCCCCCATCCCTCTCACAGCTCCTGAACGGTGCCTGTGCTCAGCTGGGGCTGGGCTCTGTCTGCAGCAGCACTGACACAGCCAGAGCACACAGCCTCCAGCTGCAACAAGGGAAATACAGGCTGGAGATTGGGAAAAAGCTTTTACAGAAAGGGTGATAAAGTTCTGGAATGGCTTCCCAGGGAGGTGGTGGAGTCCCCACCCCTGGGTGTGTTTAACAAAGCCTGGATGTGGCACTGGGGGCCAGGGTTTGGGTGAGGGGTTGGGGCTGGGTTTGACTCGATGATCTTGAAGGTCTCTCCCAACCTGGTCATTCTGTGAATTCTATAGCAGGAGCACCAGCTGCATGGACTGCAGCCTTTAATGATGCCCCATCAACATTTTGGAAAGCTGTCCTCCTCCTCCAGTTCATCAGAACCTTTAATAAATTATTTTAGACCTTCTCAGCTATTTATTTTACAATTTTAAAAGACAAAACCAGGTTTCCAAGCAACACTTTAAGTAGTATCATTGAGGATGCAGTGGGAGCTGCAAGCCTGTTCAATACAAACCCTCTCCTCAGCTCAGCAATAGCAAATCATAGTGGGCTGGTTTGGGCATTGTTTACTGGGAGTGTACATTCTTATTCTGACCCTTCTCCCTGGCCATAATAATCTACACTACTGGGAAAGTTTGTCATTTTGTTTGTCAGCCATGTGCAAAATTATAGCTGACACTTTTATGGACATTTGCCAGATGCCTTCTAACCTAAAAACATTTGCTTTCTGTTTCATCCAATCCGAAACACTTGCATTTTCTGGTCATAGAAAATGTTTCCTTTAGGTATATAAACAAATATATATGTATAGACATAGATCAATCTGCTTTCAGCCTACACAGAGGCCAAGAACTCCCTCATCCTCTCTCCCAGACCTCAGGGTGACACTCACTCTCTCAGTTATCCCACTTGCAAGCCATGAACTCGTGCACTGTCTGTCTTTGGAGAAGGGGAAGCTCCCAGGGACATGAACTGCCAGGTAACTGAACTCTTTCCCAATCATTAGAGCACTACAGACACTTTTCATCGTGAGCAAGAGTTTTGATACCTACAGAACCCAGTCACAGGTACTCTTTTTGCCTCTATTCTCTCACATTTTCTCTCTCCCACTTAGCTGTTAACATACTTCTTCCCTTCACAGAGATAACTCATTCTTGTAGTGGCCTGAAATTTTACTTTTAATGTTTATTCTTTTGAAATGAATCAAGGTTCCTCTGGAAGCACAATGGTGTGCTCACGAATATTCAGCTGGGGTGTAGCAATTCTCCCCTTTGTGTTCAAGTTAAAATCCTGTTAATCTCCTGCTCAAACTCCTTGTCCATGGAACAGGCATCTGAGCTAGCACTGCTGTCACTGCTCCCTCTCGCTGAAAACCCTCCTCTGGTGACACTCAGGGTGGCTTTCATGGCATTTTTCTCACACTGACTGACACAGCACCCTCATCTTTGCCTTGACTGCTTGGCTGGGGTCCAGCACCCTCCAGCCTTGCTCTTCTCTGGGCCTGGCCACTCTCAGAGGAAGTGGTTGAGCAGCCAAGAGCATGTTTGAGTTCAAAGCTTGCTTTGGGCTGAAGAGCATCACTCTGAGCTCTGGATCCGTTTTAGCTGGTTACTCTGGGTCTCACTTTCTGTTTTCATCCTGGTATTTTGATCTGTCTAGACTCTCCAGAAGGGCAGGATTGCAAAATCACCCCAGCAGGGACACAGACTGGCACAGACTCTATTATTTTGTTTCTATCAGTGTGGTTTTTTTGTGGGTTTTTTGGTTTTGTTTTTTTTTTTTTTGTTTGTTTTGAGTTATTCTCTTCTCCTCCCATTTTGTTTACACCTAGGAGCAGAATTTCCCTGCCTGCCTTTATGGCATTTTCAGAGATCAACTTCTCTGCATTAACCCATGAAGTGCTGCACAGCAAATGCTTCCACACCTGCACTGAGGTGCTCTTGTAACTTGGAGCAAAATCCCACCAACCCTACACCCAAATGGAATTGCTGTGGGAATTCTGAGTAGCAAATGTACTATTACCCACCCTAAAGTTTAGCAAACTATCTGCATTACTACAGCATTTCTCAGCAGAGTAAAGGTAATCCAGCTTTGCTCAGAAGA